AAAAAATAATTTGTACAGATGTTATTTCCTATACAAATTTTGTTATAAAAAAGGCTCGTTCATATTTGACCAACCCTTGCATTTACTTACAGCAATTTTTTTTCCATTTATTTTGTAAGTTTCTACACTGTGGAAACTTCAACAAATTTACTTCTCTTTGTTTCTGGTTTTCGATCTTCAACCAAACAGTACAAAACTAGCTTAACAAAGTGACTCAAAGTTTACTATAATTATTGAATTTTAGTGTTATGAATGATAGTGATACAAGAAATTCTTGGAAGTACGTTTTTGTATCTTATTACTATCTATAACCATTTTTTTTAACCAAACAGCTAGACACTTGCAACTTACTATTTTTAACTACGGATGACAGTAAAGCATAAGGCACTTTAGGCATTAGAAAGGGTAAGACATTTTAGGCATCTAGAATCACTCAAAACAAATCTCAGTTACTTTCTGACAAGGCTTGATTAAATCACCTATGTACACGATGCTACATAAATTGATAACTGAATACTTTCTTAATGGCACAGAAATTTGTAGCTGGCCATTTTTGCTCTAAAGCAAAAATTTTGCAAAGAAATATGTCTCATTTCATTGCAGAGTTAGATTTGATATCTTAACTATCATATCTTACAATCACTTTTATATGATCGAGCTTCTTCATTTTACAGACATACTTAACATGCACTGTCATCTTACCGTTTGAGCTCAAAATGTACTGCCCATAGACTCCACAAGAATATAGGCCCATATTTTGACAAATTTATTGTTATTTTTTAGAGTGTTGGCATAGATAAAAGTTCAGGTATACTGTTAAAACTTTTGAGCCTATGACTCTGTTACAATGGTCCTGCTAATATGCACAGCCTGTAATCACTCAGTCCAAAATAAAAGGGATGCATATGGACTTTTTAAAAATCCTATGCCTATTTTTATTAAAAACTTCCAAAGCTCTTATTCTGATGAGTTCTTCCATTTCTGATGAGTCTTCCCATGCTGCTCATATCTACTTTACATCAAAAAGTTCCATTTAAGGCAGTTCAACCACTCTCCTTCAGTACATAACCATAATCAGAAGTTACATTTATTCATTTTACAATTTGTGACTGTTTAGATCATTTCACTCTTCCATTAATTTTTATATGTATACTGTCATATGCATTTTTGTGTTTGAAAGTGAAACTTTGACAGGCACAGTTCTTAAATTACTGAAAATAAGAAACTTCAGGGTTTGAAACCAAGAAAAAATTTCACACTCCAGCAAAAATTATAAATGATAACAAAGTGTAAATATATCTAATTAACATCTCTTATAAAGAATAAAGATCAAACATCATACTATTTTGAAGTGTTTATCAGGAAAACATGAAATCTTCATATTATGAAGACTGTGTTTAATCCACATTTAGAGTATTTCTTAGTAAAGAAGGGTCTTAAGACTTTAGCATCTGCCCAATTACACTCGTGAAAGATGACCAGAACCTTGCTCTAATAGTTACACGATATCAACAGACAACAAATTTAATATTTCTTTCCTCACTTTGCAGCTGCACCATGAGAAAGATAGGAAAAGGTTCATGAGACAGGCTTTCCAGCTGAAATAATCTGTGTTTTACATCTCTTACTTTTCTAATAAAGCTGAGCCATTTCTTCATACAAAGATCATAATAAGGCTGCAGTTTTTTTCTTCTTGAGAAGTCATGATAGATTGAAATCACATTCTATATTCATTGTTCAACAATACGCACATGTGCCATCAAGGACTAATTCACATAATCTAAGGCTCTATGCACAGCATTTTTTTTCAAGGCTCCATAGGCCTAATTTTCCTGTTTTCTATACATAAACACAGATTTATGGAAAATTACAGCATATCAGGACCCCTCTGCATAAGCTTAGCAAACCTAAATAATAAACGGGCACAGTATACCATGCTCCTTATGCTATCAGAAAACAGCTTTTACAACCAGAGAACATACCAATAACAAATCATTTGAGAAGGCATAATAAAAATATAGGTACACCTGGAGATATTAAAATTTGTAACCATGTAGAATCCCTTTGACACACTAGTGTATTTTTCCATAACTAATTAAACGAAACCAACCCTTCAAAATATATGCAGGGTTTTTTTAAAGGAGCAATCAGGCCAGAATTCTTCTTTGCACATGGCAATGCCAAGCATTACTGAAAACTTCTTTAACAAGAAGTTTCAATCCACACAAACATTTTCAGCAGACAACAATCTAATCGTTCTTGCTCTCAGATGCCCAAAAACTATTCCTTCCTTGTTAGCAAGTAGTGCAGCTTATTAACCATATCGTAAAAGTGACAATTACAAATAATATTTCTGAAATAATATGTGATTACTCTGACAAAGTAATTAACAAACAATATGAGAACTGAACTCAGCAATTCTGTTGAAACAGCAATGATAATATATTGCAATAAAGCGTCAAGATATAAATCAGTCTGGTATTAATATCTTTTCCTTCCACCTAAAGCATCAGATACATTTTTCAGTCTTTTAAGTGCACTGATTATACTCTTCCCTCAGTCTGAGGTACTGCTACAGATTGTTTCTTTAGCTGATAATGGCCAACCATGCAAGGGCAATCTGTCTTGTGTATTAATGGAAAAAATACATCTGTGAAAAACTCCCTAAAGGAAATTGGCTTATATTGATGTCACACAGGAAAAACCACAAAAATGCTCCCATTCAATGGGATTCGAGCCAATGTTAGTGTAGCAGTGTTCAACGGTTTTATTAACTTAGCTACTCAAGAGCACCTAGGCAATATACTATTAATATTTAAATTTCGTTGGAATGTTGCATAGTATATTAGCTTTCTAGGCTGTCATGTACTGGTTAGCACAAACACATAATTTATGAAATTTCATAATCTAATGCATGCATTTCAATCAAAAGTTAGACATAGTACAGCACATCACATCTCTTTGGAAAGTTTATATGTTCTGAGAGCAATGTTGTCAAAAGCATCTTACTACAAATGTTTCATGAAATGATTATTAAGAATGGACAAGATTTGTTAATTATGGCCAAGCATATGCAAATGCTATTTGCCTACTGTGTGAGATGGCTTCATGAAGACCTTTCTAATATAAAACAATTGAGAGTTACATTTTACTGACATAAGAATACATAAAACCAATGAAGCCAGCCCATTTAGGTCCACAGAATCATAGCTGGGGACAAACATGAATATTTTGCTGCTATAACAACTCGGCTACTGGCCACTTAAGTCTTTGCCGAAGTTGTGATATTAATTACTACAAGGAGAAGCTGAGTACATAAAATAGTATATAAGATATAAGGACAATGCAAAATTCAATGCAAAGGAAATATATAATACAAAATAGCAATATTTCTCATTCAGCTATAAAATGAATTTGATTTCACAGTTGGATTTCCCATACCATACATGAATTACAAAACCAAAATCACAGTGAGTAAATAATCCCAACAAAAACTAGTCCCCTTTCCTGAGGCAGAATTATACGAGTGTCACAAATAATATTATGTACATTCAGCACTGTACCAATGTGCATAATGTTACAGATGCTATGAAATAAACATGGATTCATAAATTATTGACACTGGGCATACAAGATTTGATATACAACAGGTTTGCTTTGCTTTGCAAATAACTAAACTTTTCTAATGCACTTCTTAAAAGAATCAAGTTTTCTATAATACCATTAATATATGCAAAATATTTAAATTTTATACCTCCTAATACCCTGGAGAAGTTCAAATTTCTTTTTCTCATTCCTTTCTTTCCCAATGTGTCTTTTTAGTCTATAATATGAATATTTTTCTTCCTTTTTTTTTCAAGAATTTCTCTACATGCCTAAAAATGCCTCTGGTATAGTAAAAAGTTTCTTCTTTTTCAATGGCTCGACAGCTCTGGGTGAGCCTTCTCCAGGCATCTCTACTTTTGACAACTGTTTTCTAGTTTTTAACCTTTAAAATATTAAGATCTCTTTTGACACAATCAGTAGTCTATCTTAGCGGGGATCTGCCCCAAGGTCTATTTTCCATGGGCTTCACCAAAAAGATTTTCTTACAGCAACGATCTTCCTTCATTCTAGCCAGATGGCCAGCCCATTTAAGTCTCTGTAATTTGACAAATTTTACAATATCAGGTTGTTTGAAAATTTTATAGAGTTCTAAATTAGATCTTCTTCTCCATGAATGATTCACTTGGACCCCACCGAGAATGCAACTTAAGATCTTTTGCTCAAAAATTCCCAGAGCTTCATCGTTACATAAAGCCAACGCCCAAGTCTCTGATGCATAAAAGAGATCTTATCAAACTTTTGTAAAGAAACAATTTAGTTCTTAATTTGAAAGCTGAATCTTAAATAACTCTTCAGGGCATAAAAAGATCTATTTGCAGCAATGATTCTTTTATATATTTCTGGTGCCAACATATTTTTATTATTTATCTCCATTTCCAAATAAGTAAAATGGTTAACTTTTCAAATTTATAAGTGCGAATTTATAAGTGTCTAAGCAGTAAGTCAGATTTTAAGCAAGGTAAATATTTAGTTCTATTTTCGTTTACAAATAAATTCTTTTAGCACTTTGTTCCAATGTCATAAATGTCTAAGAGCCGGTGAGATTCGGGCAATAATGCAAACGTCATCAGCATAAGCAAGTATTACTAAAACGTTTACTTGTCTCAAATGATGATTAAAATTTATAGTCAGAATCAGATTTTAAGAATAAGCAAAGAAAAGAATATACATATTACTTGTTTGAAAATTAAATGATGGTTAGTATTTAACAAGATAATTTATTTAGGTATAAATATTAATTTTGTTTTAAAATTATTAGTTATTCATTAACTGATTTTTTAACTAAATGTCCCAATACATGGAACATTGACAGATCACACATTACATTATAACAAAGTTATTAAAACTATATATACGAAATTAAAATGTATATAATATAAAAAAGCACATATTACCACTTGGTGTTACAATAACTGGCTGAGCACATCTAAGTTCAGGAGTAGGGGACAGTGTTAAAAGTATTACCAACACAGAACCAAGATTTGTGCCAATCCATAAAGTTGGTGCAGTTATAAAATCTGGAGGGAAAATAAAATATTAAACACATGTAAATATTTTAAAGGCATTATTTTATATACATAAAAGGTTATAAAAAATTTTCTGCTAAGTGTGAACAGGTGAATTGCGAATGCCTTATATAAGGTGCCCGTAAATGTTGTGACAAACTTCTGGGGAAGGTAGGGCAGATTATAAGGATAAAGAATTGCACAGGAGCCCATGCCCAGAAATGTCATTGTACGGGAAAGTGAGGATTGCCTCATTCGAGCGGTAGGTACCATATGAAGAGAATGGAACGCTGTGCGAACGAAGAGCTTGAAGACATGCACTTAGTGCATGGAATAGCTGAGGGTAATGGACGAGTCGCTGCACACATTTATTGAGAACACTTCCTCGAGAGATATCAACCATCCCATAGTTTGTTTGCATGCCTGCATCAAAATTTGTGAGACTACGGGTCATTAAGAAGTGGCAGGACAAGTGAGGGCAGGCCACGATCGAGTCACTCAGTTGTTAGGGAAGAAAGTGTGTTGGATATGGTGGAGAGTACTCCAAGGACCAGCATATGAACCATTTGTCTCAATTAAGAATGTCTCATACCAGTGTCCAGCGTGTCTTGAACACAGAGTCTTTCCGCACCTTTCGTCTCCAAAGGGTTCAGTTAGTGCTCTCCGATGACCATCCTAAATGTGTGCTTTTCACACAGTGTTTTCTGCAAGGAAATGCTTGTAATGTTAATTTCCCAGCTTATGTATTTTTCACGGATGAGGCCATATTCAATAGGGATGGCGTATTCAATCACCGCAATCAGTATTTGTGGGCTCAAGAAAATCTTCACGGTGTGCAGCACTACACGTCACAACACTTCATAGTTGTGTGGACAGGCTTGGTTGGCAACTGCTTAATGCTGCTTATGGATAGTGATCAAAAGTATCATTTATCATGATCCTATTGTGTCTGAAATGGATCTTGTGGCAAGACTCGCCTGTGCAGCTGCTACAATCAAAGAAACTCCCAGTGTGTTTGAACATGTCTGGCAATCAATGGTCCATCTGTGTCGGGCATGTTTGGCATCTGATGTTGCAAACTTCGAGCATCTGGTAACATTCAAGCTGGCATACACCATTTGTGTTCCCATCCAATAAATGTTTCAAATTAATAACTCTCTTGTTTCCTTCCCCATTTTCTATCTCTGTTACCACTTAACCAGACATTTCCGGGTATGGGTCCTATGCAATTCTTAATCCTTATGATGTGTCCTACCTCCCCTAGAAGTTTGTCGCAACATTTACATGACATACTGGAAAATTAATGCTGACCCTGTTTAACACATTTTTTGAAAAGCCTCAGAAAAAAACAGTTAGTAATCACTAGATTATACTAAATGGCAGCTGAAGGAATAAAAGCTTTAAGCAGATTCAGCATACACTGTTCCTGATGAAGATTTATATTAAATAAATAGATTTCCTTACATGTCTATGAATTCTACTATGCTGCTGTAAACAATATTTAATCTCTTAATCTTGGCCCCCCAATCTCAGTTTCAGTGAAAATATATTATTAAGGAAAAACGTTTATATGTTTATTTTAACAGAAAATTTAAAAAATTCATGAATTCTTCAAAAGACATTTAAAACAATTATTATGTTTATTAGTAATGCTAAATATTCAAAAGGAAAGTTTAATTTCAAATTTCAACATTTTTCAGAAAATAATATTTTCTTTTATTGTTTAATTACACTAAATACAACTAATAATTATAGTGAAGATAATATTTTATATAGTTTGCGAATATATACTGATTAACTATTAAAGTGGAGAATCTAATAAATCTCATACGATATTTAAAAACAAACCTACTACAGTACAAAGTCCGAGATCCTGAATCTTCGTGACTTAAGCGATTCCTAATTTCGAAACTTTCTGGATTTTAGATCATCAAATCAAATTTAGTAAAATGACATGAAGAAATTATAAAATTAAGAATATGACATAGTTTTTTTTTATAAAATAATGAAGTATTTATGACTTTATAAGAATCAGAATTTATAAAAAAACTCAATATATATCTGTTTATTTTATTAAATACTTCTTTAAATGCAGATTTTTAAAGTTGTTTCCTTTTTTTTTTTTTTTTTTTTTTTTTTTGGGTGTGTGTGTGTTAATAGTTTCTCTTTAATTTTATAGGTAGGCATGATTTCTTGTTCACTTACAATGTTCCGCATGTTGAAGTCCTGTACCTAATTTGTTGAAAATTACCACTAAACTATCAATCAAAATCATTTCCATTCTCAGAAATATCTTTGTAACTTCTGTCTCTATCAGTAGCGATATGTTTTGGATTTAAAACCATGCTATAGATTTCTCAGTCTGTTAGTTTATTTTTAATTTGAGCATTATCACTGCAATGAAAAATTTCTGTTATATAATCTTTGTTATCGCTTTGCCACATTTCTTCACAAATTCCATTAACTGAGAAATTTCGCTTTCTAGAGTGTCCAAAATATATGCCAAAATTAAGTTCCTGTTTTGCCAAATTCTGAAACTCCTCTTTCTTAAGGCAAATTATGCTAATGGTGTTTTCTGCATCAAGGCTGCTATAGAAGAAAAGTATCAAATATGCTTCCACTTTGTAGATATTGCTACAGTCCAGAATTAGTCTTTTCTACATAATCAAAAGTTAAAACTCTTAATTCTGATAAGACAGCTATAATAAAAATAACTTCAAAAATAATAGCCTGGAGCAAATTAGTTAAGAAAGAGTGCAATTTCCTATGTTAACAGAACTTAATAATTTCTTCTGGATCTAATTCTTTCTCTCTTCCCACTGTTATGTCAAGAAAAGAAAACCAGTGTTAGCAACATCCCATTCCAAACAAATATGCCCTGGGATTTCAGGTATTGTTTAGGTCAGCCAGAAAAATATTAACTCCCCATTATCATTTAAGAGGTGAAAGTGCGATCGCAGCTAATGTCAACCAATGTACTAGTATGTGTCTTTGGCTATGGTGTGATTTCTCCAGCCAGCAGGAGTTTAAATGTGACATTAAGGAATTTCAATTACTCTGGACAAAAATCGCTTTTACGGCAGACAGTGCTTTTTTAGATAATCACCAATCCTAAATTTTGGAAAAAAAAAAAAATGCTGATGGTTTGGATATTGGACTTATGGATTTTGTATTATATTTCATTAATTCACAAATTTTATTATTTTCTCATCTAATTCCCAAACTTTAATTTTTTTCATTCAGAGAGTCATTTCTTCTTAGAGTTTCCTAAGATTTATTTACAAGCTCTGTTACTGTGTACTGTGTAAAATTAAGTTCCCAAAAAGAGAAGACAAAACTGGCATAGATTTATTATTGCCCTTGAAATTTACAAAACATCATTAAAATTTATACTAACCTATTTTTTGGTAGGGGGCTTTATTTTACATTTTACATAAGTGTGCTTCTCTTTCAAGCAGAATTTATTATGACCAACTGGCATTTTTGAGAATTTTTTTTGTTGTTGTTTTGTAGTTAACATTTTTGCAGAATTTTGTTACCTGGCTCAGATAAATTTCTTTGCTCCTCAAGATCAGGTACCCATGTTAAAGGCTCTTTAAATTAATTGTTTCATTCAAAATCTACACTACTCCAACAAATAATAAATTTTGTAATAGTAAATGCATAATTTTTACCTTCATTCTGTATTAGTAAGTATGCCCTTTTACATGGATTTCTACACTGAGATACTCAATTTTGGAGTAAAAATGCATAACTTCTGTTGTACATTTAATTTCTGGAGTATAAATGCTTAATTCTATATTTAATTTCCAAATCATATCTATGTGTCTCTTGTACATTAGCTAAATAAAAATCTTATACACATTAACCTAACATCATGGTAATTCACCACTAATTTAAAGAATAGAAACAATACACTAGATATCAATTCAACCAAAAGTTGGAAGGTCATTGGATGCACTGCCAGCCAAGCTTGCTACTCTATTGGCCATATCTACGCTGACATCTTGGTCCTGCAACCACAGATCTAAGATCACATACCATCACACAACAGAGAGCTCCAGTGGGATTTAGATTCAGGTATTCAGTAGACTACAGCAGGCATAACTCAGGTAAGTGTTCCCCAAACTATGCTTCAGTGGCTGTGTCCAGATGAGTGGCTCATTTTTCAGCTGAATTGCACCATTCCCTGCAGGATATATAACAGTCACGATTACGAATGATCAGCCAGACTACTCTAATATTCAGAGACTCATCTCGACAGTAGAATGAAGATTCATCCCTACAAACAATAAGATGTACACAATAGATCCCCACAAACAATACATGTCTGAAAACTAATGAGCAATGTACAATATTATAGGTCAGGAGCACTGGTTTTCAAAGGAATGTAGCCTACATTATACAGCTCATTGTCTGTTTGGGGTCTTATCATGGATGTGGCTTAATTTGACTAAGATACTATGAAAGTGATGCAATTGCTCTTCTTGCAGTCTCTGAAAGAACCAATAGTCTGTATCAGTGTTTCTCAACTGGATTTACTCCAAGGACTGGTAAAATATTTCGATACGTTCTCGCAGTCCGGTAAGTTTAGTAATTCAACCGATTGGCACAATTTTTTCACATAAATAAATCATGAAGACAAAAATTATTTTTAACGCATTTTTGTTATAATTTACATATGTACATTCAACTTACTTAAAATATTGCATCAAGAATAAAATTACCAAAACTTAACTAAAACTCAAAAAAAATTCGTACAAGAATGATATATTTATTTTTTAAAATTAATATATTAGCAAAAACAACAATGACTCAAAATGTAAACAGCGTAGGTAGATACAAAATAAGCAAAAAATAATTTACCAAATTATAGGAAATAAAAACAAAAATCAATTTTGGGACAGATAACTGGATATTTCCTGGACTGGCAAATATTTCTTGCAGACTGGTTCTGGTCTGCAAACCCGGCGGTTGAGAAACACTGGTCTACATCAAGCATATCAAAATCA